GGACCCGGGTGGGTTCTGCTCTGATCCCACCATCACCTCTCAAAGTGGCAGAAAGAGTTTCTGAAAGTCTTTGAGAACTTTTGCACTGGTTCTGCATGAGGTTTATGTCTGTGTCAAAGAGGTTTTCTGTGTCTTCTGTTGCAGGACACAATTCATCAGCTGGAGAATGAGCTTAGAGGAACAAAGTGGGAAATGGCACGTCACTTGAGGGAATACCAGGACCTCCTCAATGTCAAGATGGCCCTGGACATTGAAATTGCTGCATACAGGTACAGTAGGACCACTGCGGACATGTCTGGAATATTAATAGCACTGCAGATGCTGCTCGTGTGGGAACCTTGCCATGGAGGAGAAGTGTCTGCATGCAGTGAAACTGGGGTTTGGCTAAATTGCAACCATCTCAAAATCTCTGCAGACCCAAGCAGTGTTTGCAGGAGGAGTCCTGGGTTCCTTGGGGACCAGATCCCTGCCAGTGCTCCCTGTGAGCTCAGTGGGCACAGGACAGTGTGACTCAGTGCAGTGGCACCGTGTGCCGCAGTCTGTCCTTGTTTACAGGAGCAGAAGATGCAGCGAAAGACAAGCTTATTTTTAATCCCCCTTTTCTTTGCATATGCCAAGCAAGTGGCGCTTGTCACCTCAACTCCCTTTTCTCGCTTGGGAGAGACAGTGCACTTGCTTGATCATGGTTTCTAGCAGAGAGCGCTCATCTGTCTGTCACAAACACTTTTGCTTTTCTTCCTCAACTTTCCTTTAAAGGCATCTGCTCTCATCAGGAGCAGGAACATTGCTTGCTATTGCCATCACCTGGCAGGTTGTTTTAAGTCTCCCTTGCATCCCTTTAGAACTCTCACCAGAGAACTGCTGATTTTTCTGGGTCACAGGCTTAGATGAAAAACATGTGTTTGAATATCAGAAAAGCAAACCAAAAACCTCACCTCCAGCTCTGCTTACATTCCTCAGCGTGTTCAAACACAGAGATACCCCAGGCTCTATAGCTGTTTGCTGCCCAAGCTAGCGGAACAGAAGTCTCTTCCGCTTTCATAGGTGCACAAGAGAGATGGATGCCTAAACTATTGAGCTAGGACATACCATAGAATCACAGACCAGTTTGGGTTGAAAGGGACCTTAAAGCTCCCCCAGTTCCAACCCCCTGCCACAGGCAAGGACACCTTCCACTAGAGCAGGTTGCTCCAAGCCCTGTCCAACCTGGCCTTGAATATGCTCTAACTGGCTCTGAATGTCTCAGCCACATCTGGGTCTGTGGGCTGGGTCAAATTCTGTTTGCTGAAGTCCTAATGCATCCAGTGCAGTTAATTACTTTGCTGTACTCTGCACTGACTTATGCCCTAATGAAGCTTTTGACCTTAAGGATGAATTTCAATGCATCAGCTGAAGGTATTATACTTGCCACATTCAAACCAAGCTAAAAGCTGTTTGCTGATATGAATTTTGCAAAAGAGCAGATTCAAGGAAAGCTGAACTGGGACTGCAGGGGATGGATTATGCTGATCAGCTCTAGCATATCTCGTATACAAGCTGGTTTCATCCTGCTGAGAAGGAAACAATTAATACCTATCCCTTACATTTGGTTTCTATGCTCATTTTTTTTTCTCCTTTAGAAAGCTACTGGAGGGCGAAGAGACAAGATTCAGTGCCTTCTCTGGAAGCATTACTGGACCTGTATTCACACACAGGCAACCATCAGTCACAATAGCATCCACTAAAATTCAGAAAACAAAAATTGAACCACCAAAGCTGAAGGTCCAGCACAAGTTTGTAGAAGAAATCATTGAAGAAACGAAAGTAGAAGATGAAAAGTCTGAAATGGAAGATGCCCTAGCAGCTATTGCAGAAGAAATGGCAGTCAAGGCCCAGGAGGAAGAAAAAGCAGAAGCAGCAGCTGCAGAGGAAGAAGAGAAGGCTGCTGCAGAACAAGCAGCTGAGGAAGAAGAGAAGGAGGAAGAAGAAGCCGAGGAGGAAGAAGAAGCAGCAAAATCTGATGCAGCAGAAGAAGGAGGTTCTGAAAAAGAAGAAATAGAGGAAAAGGAAGAAGGGGAGGAAGCTGAGGAAGAGGGTGAGGTAGCTGAGGCCAAGGGCAAAGCTGAAGAGGTAGCAGCAAAGGTAGAGAAGGTCAAATCGCCTCCCGCTAAGTCCCCCCCTAAGTCCCCCCCTAAATCTCCTGTAACGGAGCCGGCCAAGGCTGCCCAGAAAGAACCAGCTGCAGAAGCAGGAAAAGAACAGAAGGTGGAGAAAGGTGTTGAGAAACCAGCCAAGGAGGAGGAGAAAGCAGCATCTCCAGAGAAGCCAGCAACGCCAAAGGTAACCTCTCCAGACAAGGCAGCAACCCCAGAGAAGCCTGCGACCCCAGAGAAGGCAGTGGCCCCCGAGAAGCCGGTGACTCCGGAGAAGCCCCGCTCCCCAGAGAAACCAGCGACTCCGGAGAAGCCCCGTTCTCCAGAGAAACCAGCGACTCCGGAGAAACCAGCCTCTCCGGAGAAACCAGCCTCTCCGGAGAAGCCGCGTTCCCCGGAGAAGCCGGCCTCCCCGGTCAAAGATGGGAAGGCTGTGGTGGAGGAGACCGTCACTGTCACAAAGGTAACCAAGATTAGTGCAGAGGTAGAGAAGGAGTCCAGGAAAGAAGACATTGCAGTGAATGGTGAGGTGGAGGAGAAAAAGGAGGAATCCAAAGAGAAGGAGGTTGAGGAGGAAGACAAGGGAGTTGTCACTAATGGCCTAGATGTGAGCCCGATTGATGATAAGGGTGAGAAAATTGTAGTGACCAAAAAAGCAGAGAAAATCACTGGTGAAGGTGGGGACAGTACAACCACATACATCACAAAGTCGGTGACGGTCACTCAGAAGGTAGAGGAACATGAAGAAAGCTTTGAGGAGAAATTAGTGTCCACCAAGAAAGTGGAGAAAGTTACTTCACATGCTGTAGTAAAAGAGATTAAAGAGGCTGAATAAACTAAACCATAGCTAAGTTAGACAAAACTCAAGAGCTTGGGTCGGTGCAAAAGGTTAAGCCATATGACAGCTGCAAAATGCATGTGAGTGACGGCTTCAAAGCAGAATGGGTTCTCTCCTGGAGGCTCCAGACACACAGTATTTTACTTTTTCGTGCAATATAAAGGGGAGGGGGGGGGAATGCATGCAGGCTCAAGATGTGCTCCCTCCACAGAGCTTGGGGCTCTACAAAAAATACTACTATAATAGTGCATGAGATGAAATGTGCAGAGGAAGCTTTTGAATCTCCTGAGCTGTTGGAGGGACATATCTGAGGAATGACTTAAGATGTATTATGCAAAGAACCAACTGAGCCAAAAGGACAAACAGAAACAGTCATAGAATATTCATGAGAACCAGAACTCTCCTAGCCTTAAAAAAAAAAGCTACTTATAAATAATTATGTTTACCTCACTGGTGCAATTTAGGGTGGACTTTTGCTCATGGGAGAACCTAGTTGACATGCACAGTACGCAACCTTTTGTTGTTTGATGTAAAAGTCACAGCAGTTCTTGCTCAATAAAGGTCAATACTGAAAACAAGACTTGTCTGGTGATTTTTGTTTAATCCAACGTGGCTCCTTCCCTGGAGTTCGATACTCTGTCCTGAACAGGAACACACTTGCTTGGGTTGATAAAGTGCTTTGTGTCCTCATCTAGAAAACAAGTTTGAACTGGATATGATGAACAAATTTCCTGTAATAAAACACAAATAGTTGAGCTGGTTTAAGTAAATAGATAAGAACCATATCCCATCTTTTCTGGAGTGAAGAGGAATCTATTAAACTCTGCTGCCTGGCCTTTTAGGTGCTCAGAGGGGCTGCAATTCCTTTTGCTAGCAATGGATAGGTGTCTTAAGCCATGTGCTGCTCGCATCTGAGCAATCCTGCTTGTCCTAAGGGTGAAAATGTTAAACTGCTGCAAGTGTAGTTTTCCTCCTTATTTTCCTCCTTACACATTAGTCTCACTGTGCAAGGAGAGCCTTAAAGATGCAATTTCCAGACTATTCCTTGGTTTCTCCTGTGAGGAGTGCCTGTCTGACCCGTTTGTCACTTAAGTGTGCAAAGACCCATTAAGTCAACCACACCACCATGTATTCATCAAAATGGGGTGGCTTCTGATTATTTCTCCCCTCCTGCCTCAATTATATGGGAACATCTTTATCAGTCTCCAGTGGTCAATAAGTGCAATCTGCTTCTAAACATAAAATTCCAAAATTGAGAGCAAGTAAATTCCTGGAAAAAGGAAACTGTCTTTTACTGGAATCATGGATCAAAAATATTCTGAACTCATTTTTTACGTATCTGTCCATTTGAAAATGGCTGTAGAAATGAGACCCTTCCAGAGCCTGAACAGAGGCTGGGTCAGGCTCAGATTATACCTGGTGTGGCTGACAGATAAAACCAAATCAAAGCATTTCTGAATTTCCAATCTAAAGGAATCATTGGCCTTTGTCTACTGCCACTTCCCAGTTGGCTTTTTTAAGAAGAAAGCCTGTTAAAAAGCCTTCTAAAATCCCACTACATGGAAAATAAATGGAGACAAACGGAAAAAGAGAAGGGCTCCAACCCCAATTTGGGGAACTAATATATCTTATTACAGGATTAATATTGTGATTATTTTTATCATGTTTCAAAAGGAAAATGAAGAACACAGCTACTGCCTTGACTCCCACAACTAGCAAAGAAATGCAAAACACTTTTAAGCCAGTTCACTTCATGGACTGTCCTGAAATCTGCTGAATAATTGAGGGTCTGATCAAAATCTGTTACTCACATACGCCTTCCAATCCTCTCCTCTATCAATAATTGAAGATCAAGTAGTTTCTAATTGAAAGGGTTCTGCATGTTCTTCACTGGAGAAACTGCAAGAAAGTCCACAGCAGATAAGCCTTTCAAATAAAGCTGAATGTCTTTGTGCAGCAGAGTAATGACTGTTTCTCCTGCTGATATCAATAATGGAAATCTGTGCTCAACAGCTTGCTGCTTGAGTGACGTTTAATTAGAGCAGGGTTAGCAAATTAAATGGCAGCTTCTCTGTAGAGAGCTTATTTGTGAAAGTTGTGTGTGTATGTGATAGAAAAATAGCTGTATCTTTACGAGTAAGAGGTAGCCCAGCCACAGCCACCTATTGTCAGGAAGGGTTTGCACCAAGTTATGTTAAAATACAGAAATGCCCAATGGTTCGTGAGCATTGAAGCTCTTTGTCTCTTGGGTCTAATCAAAATTTTAGAGAGCACCACCACTCAACCCAAAAACTAACCCAGAGATCAATATTTAACATAAAACGTTCTGTTCATGTGCTTCCAAATAAGTTCTATCATCTGCTAAAACGTCACAAGCTGCTGAGCCAGTGGGTGAGCACCCCTCAGCACAGAAAGTCAGGCACCTTCAGCAGCAACAGGAAGAAGGGTCACCTTGTATGGTGAATTAAATGTTGATGTCAGCTCAAGAGCACTGTTAGCATGGCCTTACACGAGCGCAGCTGTGATCCCAGGCTGGTTTGCTGTTTTCCATGCTATTCCTTTTAGTCCTGGTAGGATGCAGCAGCCACAAGGATTTACAGATTATTCTTCATGTTGTTTCAATTCTCTTTGCACACAGACAGCCCAACCAGGATCGCAGTTTCCCGTAGAAGGCAGCTGTACCCACGCTTCTGCCCAGGGTACATCAACTTGAATGGTTCTGGGAATTCACTGCATGGCCTATGTGGAAAGCAAACTCCAGGATACCCAATGACATGGGGTAGTTCAAAATACCCTTGTTTCCCCCCCCCTTGTTCCATCCAAGCATATCACAGCCTTTAGTTATCACCCACAACTGCAGGTTTTTTTCTCTGCTTTAATACACAAAATAAATCTGTGAGTTTAGCCTATTTCCCACTGCAAATGTTTCCATCAAATCCTAAGAGAAATAAGCAAGTGGTTAATGCATTTCTAAATATTTATAAAATTATAAGAACCCATTAATATTTAGTGTTGCCAAGAGGTTTTGTCTACTGACATCTGCAGTCAAACAGTTTCGGAAGACAGCCTAATTCCAGGGCAGAGATGCATAAATAGTATGTTATTTGCCTGTTCTGCACCAATTATTTCTTCAGACTCTGCATAACCAGTGAAGGGATTAATTACTTTCAAACACAGAAGTTCATGAATCAATATGAAAAAGACTTCATGAAGGGAAAAACAATAATTAAAGGATGTGACTATGAGGATTTATGAGCCTTATTTAAGGCGGGCTACTGAGCCCCTGTGACTTCAGGAGCTGGAGGGCTCTAGAACAGGATCTTTTTACCATACTGGGTTGTGGAGATGCTACAATTAAGATATTTTCAGCATCCCAGAACTAAATTCCAGGTGGAAACAAAGTTGGAAGTGTTACAAAACACAAACAGGTTGCGTTTGCCAGGGAGCTGAGTCAGGCACTAGAATCTTCTCCCGGCATCAGAGTCTGTGCTTTTTCCATTCCCATGTGGGCTTTCTTCCTTCTCTGCTCAGGATTAAACTACCCTTAACTAAACCTTCCAGACGATGAATTGTCAATTATTTAGTTATCAGAAGGTAAATTCCTAGGACCTGGGTATTTTACCTGTACAAGTTTTCCTCTTGCTGAGTGGGAGTGTGTGGATATGTATCTAATGAAAAGCATTCAGGACCCCTTTCTATTTGTCTTCCCTGTGATGAGCTCTTGGCATGATCCAGACCCCATGTGCCCAAACAGCAAGAGAAAACTCAGGGACATACCCACGGCTTTACTTGCTGCTGCAACTTCGGTTAAAGTTTCTATCCTGTCTCCCTCTGCCTGCTTTTACTGCATTGCGTCAAAGAGAGCGCCTGGATTTTCTAAGGTTAAGCAAGTGTTGCCAGTAGGATCCCCACAACCCTCAGAGCATCTCAGCTCACAAATCCATCCTCCCTCCCACCAGTTTACCTTAGCAGCAAGGTAGGACCAGGGTGACAGACCAGGCTGGACGGTCACTGCAGCTTGTCACTCTGCAGCTCATTGCTGTGACTCACACATTTCCTGCAGAGCTGTGAAATCTCTCCTCTAGCTGCAATACATTAAAAATAACCTAAGGAGCAGGGAATCGGGCTGAGATACGCTGCAAGGAGAAATGTGTTTGCTGGTATAACTCTGGTTTGAGAGCATCTCGGCTGCAACGCTTTGGAGAGCTGCAAGCTCTCACAGGAGCGAAAGGGATACAAAGGACTGAATGAAGAGAAGTTTACCCACCAAAAAAAAGAGAAAAAGCCATGAAAGAGGAAGCAAGATCAGGTACTGAGAAGTTAAAAGGTGCTCAGAGTGCCTGGAGAAAGGCAGGATGAAGAAGTGGTTTTAATATAAGCCAATCTCTGCAAGAGTGGCTTGGCTTTAATGGCTGTGGGAGTTCTGACCTGGCGCATCACAGATTTTCTGCTCTGTAGGAGCAGCATCTATTTCCAACTGAAGTGCCACACTAAGCGTTTTCTGATAGGGCAACTGCCATCTCTTAGACTTAATGTTCTGCTGTTTGAACCAAAGGCATCATATACTAAAAGGAGTAGCTCTTCTACAAGCCCCTCAATAGCTTTTAAAAGCACTGAGTGAACAGTGTGGTCAAGTCTCTGACCCCTGGTACTGCAAGTACCCACACCACCTTCCTGGAGACAGAAAATCTGCTTTATAAAAGTAAGTCTGCATAAACTGATGTAGAAACATCTCCATTAAAAGCAAAGGGAAACATAAAAAGAAAGACTTAAAATGATGTTGAAGAAAGGAAAAACTAATTTACGTGTTTGTCTTGTCATTCTCAATAAGCATCAAACCCCCCAAGAAAGTCAGGGGAGAGATAAAGTATTTGGAAATGACACTGGAACTCCCTGAACAGGAGTTAGTGGGTTTATTACATATGCATACAAGCACCATTTCCTGAATTGTTTTACCAAAGCTTCTTTTTCTTTCTCTTGCTTTTCTTCCTGGAAACGTGGAAGGAAAGAATTGTTTTAAGTACTTACCTCATCCACCATAATCTTCTTTGTAACTCTTTGAGCTCTGAAAAGGGAGATGCTTTTAGAACACCCCTCAAATTCGTATAGACGCTTCCTTTTTCTCTGAACATAACCATTGAGGACCAATGCAAATCAGTGTACAAAACTAAGAAGTACCCAAACTCCCATGCAAAAATCCATCTGACTGCAAAAATATTCAGTGCACCCATGTAATGCCTGTTCTAACATGGCTTTCCACGGGTTAAGCTTGTTTAAAAGGGTTTAATTTGCAGCCTTAGTCTCATACTTGCCCTTAGCACCAGGTTTAATTTTAAGCAACTTGAGCTAATTGAAGATAAATGGGCTCATGCTGCAGGACATTGCTTTCAGAGTTGCCAGGCTTCGCTGCTCTTTCAGCTGTTCCTATTTTGTGCCTGGTCAAATGAGACCTTTCTTCAGCTCACACTCAAAACTTTAAAAGGTCTTGACGAATCTTCCGAAGAAAATTAGCATCTTGAGTCCATAGTGCATTAAATTGGGGTAGTACCTGGGAAAGGCAGCTCATTCAAGTAGCACAGG